GAGAGGGAGAGAGGACTCTCCCCACTCTCGGCCGTACCAGGGTATTAATATATATAGCCTAGAATGAATAAAATCAAATAACACTATTGAAATGATTCAAACATTGACTGCCACTGCAAGCACAGAAGCGCTGAATATCCGTTTCGTCCTTGTATGGGATTTCTCAAGATTATGGATCCATGATCTTTCACGAGGGAATCGAACTCAAGACCTTGAGTCTTGCATGCGAACGTTTAATCACTCGGCGGATTAATGAGTTCACACTGCTGGGGAATCCCATGATAGGACGGAATGGCGATCCAGTCCATCTAGGTTTAAGTGATGGTCTAACACTGATCAGTTTATGATTTCAATAAAACAAGAAATAGTCTCCAACATAAGAAGAAATTAAGACTTTTCATTCATCCTGTTTGATCAATTTTGCAAATAAACGACTATAATACATGGAGATTTACAGCTTGAATGGACTCTTTCGGTATTTCAATTACTTCATGTTGTCTTAAATGCCCACGAATGCCCGTCAATCAAATCATTTATCTTCAAGTTTACATAACACGGTCTAAAGTTTCATAGAAGTTTTGACATAAATGAAACCATCCGTCTATTTTTATAATGCTTCTGACTTACTGAGAATATCAAAGAAATCTACATAGGATGCACATATGTCAAAAAAAATACTGATCAGTTTTAGCCCTAAACATCAATGAGAAGATTCAAGCAACCAACTTCACCCCATTGAACAACCCATTAGCTATCTGAACTAAGTAGCTAAGCGGATTACGTGATGTCGTTTGAAGCAAAATTTACTGTATTGGAATCTCGGAGAGAACACAAACTCTAGGATACAGGGACATCCAGCTTAAGAGTCTAAAACCAGACATAGTCAAGCACATCCTCAGTTCCACTATTAGCCATCATCCATCTCTTCTTTTAACCATAACATTTTTATGCTACTTATTAAGTACTGAGTAGTACAATGTCAAGATAATATTAACGTGGATAGAGTAGATGGTCAACCATTTGTTTTCCATACACAACTGATGTACAACAGGCGACTAAACTACTAAACAAAAATCCAAACAAGCCGACGTAAACTGGAGGGTGTGCTTCCGCTCATGCTACCAAGTTCATAAACAAGATTGTTAACGTTAACACCGAGAGACGATGACGATTGTTAACCTTTATAAAGTTCGATGTTAAATGAACAGTATCATAAAATTATAGATCAAATTTTGTGAAGAAATGGTTTTCTTTCCCAGAATTTCTCATCAGATACTTTGTTTCAAGTTCAGATTAGTAAACAAATAGAAATTTTTGTTATTCCTTGAAGATATTTTATTGGAAAAATAGAGATCTTGAGTCAATTGAAGCTAGAACACCATGGAAAACCAGGAAGCATTGGACAGCCATCCCGTCCTATTGTGGGACATCTCAGCAGTGCGCATCCACGACCTCACCACCTGCTAGATTCGAAACCAGGACCTACCAGTCTCGTGCCAGGTGCTTAACCAACTAGACCACTGAGACATTATCCAATGGTGTTAATGTTTAACTTCAACTAATCCACGAAATTGAGCGACACACCCACCATTGACATCAGTGAGTTACTATCTCACAACTGACCACCCGGTTGAACTCCATTGGTCACTGCTCCTTACTAGAACTCCAGGATACACCTCTTGAAGTTAGTCACTAGTGGGCATATGTTGATTAAAATCAGAAGGGGTTTTGTGGAGATTGTGGCAATTTCAATAATTGAGATCACGGGTCAATTGAAGCTAGACCACCATGGAAAACCTGGAAGCACTGGACGGCCGTTTCATCCTATTGTGGGACTACTCAGCAGTGCGCATTCAGGTTCTCTATGGTGGTCTAGCTTTACCTGACTCATGAAATTAATTATTAAATTTCTACAATCTCCACAAACATTACTACTATCATTACTTTGTTATTATAATTAAGATACCGTAGATTGCTTGATAGAGTTTGATCAACATTAAGGATTAGACATACATGACATTATTAGCTACTTATGTATTAATTCAATGTAAACATTTTAGTCTTACAGGAGGTCAGTTTTACCACAGATAGTTCAGTGTTAATGTCTCAGTTTGTGACGTTGGATGATGCAGTGTAGCAAAAAATCGTAGTTCAGGGGTTGTGAAGATTGTTAACCTTTTGATTGAGATTATGAACCGATTGATATTAGACCACAATTGAAAAACCTGGAAGTACTGGACGGCCGTTTCGCCCTATTATGGGACTCTTCAGCAGTGCGCAGCCACGATCCCTCTCTCGGAATTCTGACACAAGACCTTCATTCTCTCGCGCGAAAGCTTAACCTACTGAACCACCGAGCAGGCATCCAATGGTACTACTGTCTAACATCAACCAATCTACGAAGTTGCGCGACCATCTCCCATTTTACTGAGGTAGACACCTCTTTCTACTCGACACGGATTAGCTCCACTGGTCACGGCTTCTCACCAGAACTCCGAGAATTTCCTCAGGTTTTCAATGGTAGTCTAACATCAGTCGGTTCATGAACTCAATAAAAAAACTATAGATTATTAGGGAAAATATGATTACTATACATTTTATACTTCATTCACAAAATGTTCGTCAATCGTTTCAGACTTAATAGTTCCTTGATTTCTATGCTAATCACTCTCTGTTTCCATTCTCTTCTATTCGATCTTCTCAACCTTCTGCTGACAGGTATTCCATTTTCGATTGGTGTTACATACTACTTATGTCGACATAAGTAGCACACACCACTCTATATAAGCTATGGAGTTTTCAAATTATGAATTATGTCATAAACTTACTTCAGCTAATCAGTCACCACGAAACTTGATTTCTATATACCCTGACCACATACACAACTCAATTTATAGGATTCTTCTCAAAGTTAAGACTGATATCCCCAGTAAATCACACTTTGTGAGGTAAAATATCTCTATTTCAAACAGACTACACAATTTCTCTTTCTTAATAGATAAATGTA